ACATTGTAATCTGTATATTTCTATGGTGTATTTCTATACACTGTTATAAACTGTTGACATGTATATGTTTACCAACCAACTATGTGCAATATGTGCCATATGTGCAATATATACCTGGCTGCTAAATCCTAAGAACTGTTACAGGATGTGTATTTTGTAAATTGTGTAACTTTTTATTATATTATAACTTTTGTACTGTAATACTTGTTTAATGTATGTAACATATGTAACATAATATGTAACATTAAGCTGCCTGTGGCTCTTTTTCTGCTGTAACAACGTACATTTCCCCTCTGTGGGACTAATAAAGGTATTCTGATTCTGATTTACAGTTTATTTTTATTTTATTGAAGTTTTAAGTTGTCTTGTTGCTGCTGTGAAAAAACAATTTCCCACTTTGCGATCAATGAAGTATATCCAATCCAATCTAAGCTATTCACTCATTGACTCGACATCTCAAACGATTTTTAGAAAATAAGCCCGAGGAAATGTGTTAAAAAATAAAAGCCGACCAATATGAAATGACATGGTCTTAAATTATGTCAACATTGCTTCTGTGTTTACATAAATGTCTTCAGGCTAATCCATCTGCATGCAAGCAGAAAATGCATTGTGAGTAGATATATTATATCAGTGCAGTATATGGAATTACTGCAGCGTAATATTGCTATATCTCAGCCTGCAGGTGGTCTTTCATGTGGAGTTAGGAACAGGATGTTCTGTGGTTTTATTTGACCGTGCCGGCTCGAGTAACTAAGTTAGTCTCTTACTCCCAGCGGGTGACGATATCCTCCCAATCCTGCTCCTGCTGCTCCTGAAATCCATCGGATGGTTGACTCAGGGATGATGAGGGCGTTTTACACTTCCAATAAAATGACTCAACACTCACATTCAGATGCTGTCACGCTGAAACGAGTGACATGACAGCACATTTTTCGGGGTTAAATTAAATTAAAGCTTGCAGCCTGCTGTGTTTGTCACCGCTGGCATGCAGATCCAGATTGCTTTGAGGGACTTCATATTTTTAACTGATATACAAAACAAAGAAATGTGTGGGTGCAGGGTTTATTTAGATGTGAAGCTACTGTATGTACATTTCTGGACTGATATTCACTTAATTTGATGTATTACACTACTAGATTGTAATACACTTTGTTCCTTTTGATTAATAGAGTGTCAGGTTAAATTCACATTCCCCTCATTCAGCTGGGATTATTAAATTAAACTCCAATTTATTCTACAGGACAGATGAGCCTGTATTAAATCACCAAATTAATAAAGTTGATCTCCATGTTTCACTGAGTATATCACCTGCAGGAAAGAGTTTCAGCAGGTACCAGTGGGGATTCAGATCTGATTAGTGAGGCATGTAAACAAACCAGACAGGTGAATTAGATGTACCTTGTCAACGAGGTTGTTGACTCTTGAAAAGCAAGCGCCTTTTTGGCAGAAATTCAATTAAATGTTCAAATACCTGGAGCAGCAGCTTCATGCACACGCTATAAACAAAATGTGCACATCATTAACATTTCAGCTGACCTTTTCTCGGTGTCAAAATATACCCAATCATGTCAGATAGCGACAAATAAACACCAGAAAATCAGAGAAATATCTTCCTGCATGCAGAATCACATATAACAGTGTAACCTCAGGGAGCTTCACTTATTGGAGGCATTACTGCGTATTTTCCCTGGCTGACAGTTGAATTATGTCCACATAGAAACAGATAAAGCACACAGCTATGCTTATAGGGCCATCTTGTGGCTATACAAAGCATTAGTCATTCACACAAAATGACTATTAAATACAGAACTCAAAAATAGGTTGCATTACAGAGGCTTTAAATACATAGATTATATCAGTTAGTCTGTTGATCATCCAACATTTCATTAAGAATGCCTAGCATGTTAAAGGTGACACATGTATAGTGTGTGATAAACAACGTCTCCACTTCCTTTCAACAAGTAAAAGCAAGTTTATGGGTCTTTTTCTGGCACTAAAAGCATATTTTGTTCCCACCTCTCTCTCACTTCCTAAATGGATTGTACTAAAAGGAGGCTAATCTCGAGTGAAGATCAATATAGGGGCCTCGGTGTGAAAAAAGGGATTTGTTTTTTGATGTTACGCTTCTTAGACATGCAATACAGACAAAAGGCTTTCACGTTAAAATGCCACAGTGAGCACACATGCAACTATATCTCATATATCTCATCATAGAAAAAAAATTATGATAAAAGAAATGAGTGTCCTTTTAATAACCTCAGACACACTAGAAAGCTTGTTCATAGAAATAAGGAATTAGGGACAATATTTTCAGTTCCTCATTATGTGACATCTCACATCACTTTTTTGTTACTGTTTCTCCACCACGGAGGGAATTTGCCTGTGAGTTTGTGGTGTTTGACAAATATCTCAATACTGATTGTAATTAAGATAGCTGAATGACTCAAACTGAAATAAACACTACCTCAGCGACTTTAGCTCGGGCTTCTTCTTCTCTTCAACTAACCAAAACAGAGTGCAGATATCGAATAATTTATATTTTTTTGATACTTTACTTTACCACATACCAAGTTATCGTTAATTTGACTATATATTGGAGATGTCCTCTTTGAAAAGTCATTTAAACCCCACACAATTTAGACCAAAGTGTAGCACAGTGCTTTTAGAGTAAAAACAACATTCAAGCTACACAAGATTTCAAGATTATAAATAAAAGACTATGACAAGTCTAATATTACAATATTAATAAGTTCATTCACCTCCCAGCTGGACCTTGACAATCATTTTTGCCCAGATAATTGACAAGTAACTAAATACAAACAACACTTTTCAAACTAATTGTGAGAGGAAAACTGACACATTAACATAAATATATTTATGATATGTTAATGGTTATACAATGACTAACTAGTAAAAATGCATGAGTATGTTCATTATTGGTTATTAAAGAAAGACTTAATAAACACATTTTTGTTCCTGAAAAAACCGAATTTAGCAAACTCCAAAACAATTAAAATAAATGGGCTTGTTTTGCGCAACATATTGTAAATTCCCTAAACCAAAGATTACTCATGTGGCAATATTCAGCCTGGTCAAGAGCAGAAATGAAACTTAAAAACTATTGGATGGGCAAAACCATATCCTTGGACACTTACACTTATGATAAATGGCTTTAACTTGTGTTTAAACAACGTAGTATTTGTCCCTTTACTAAATGAAAATATCTGAGTATTCCTTCCATCCCCAGAGGAGTGAGGCTGAAAGGGTCTGACAGTAACTCAGTAATCTGTTAGCCATGTTTAGGGGAAGTGATGCAACATACTGAATCATTTGTCACACATTCTTCTATTTCCCAAGGGAGGCATAACTAAAGGCCCCCACGATAGTAAACCTATTACTGGAAATGTGTTAGTAGCCTTAAGCAAATGACAATAAGTAAACCATTAATATAATCAGTTGTGTATATTCTAATACTGCTAATAGCCAGAGCTTAAAATGCCCCAATGAAAAAAGATTATAATATTCTCAAACCTTATTATTGTAGTATTTTAAATGAGTTGTATCCTGTGGCAACCAAAAATATCTTTGTTTTGATATTTTACATATTTACTTTTTGAGGAAAATGCAATTTTAGGTTATTATGTGTGTGTCAGTAGCCTATTTCTTTATTCATACATTATTAATCAGTATATTCTATTTTCTGCGCCTGGCACGGAAACAGTATGCTATTATTCATGCTCTGTCAACACTGTTGTTTTTCAGCGTCACAGAAAACCGTTTGCTTCTTCTTTTGTTAACATGTTGTTATGGTGTTGTTGTTCTGAGTTTGATTCTTCATGTTTTATTGCACCTATTATAATTTGCTTTGGATGAACGCATCAGCTAAATGCAATGTAATGTAACTTTTATTACTTATTGGAAAAGTGGACCTAGAATATAAAACATAATCAAACAGCTTTTCTAAAATGAATTGTGATAAAAGTTATAAGAAGTTGGGACCTGTAGGTGTTACAGAAAGAAAGTATTTTCTTCTTCTTTTACCTTCACTTTATGGAAAAGAGGACCTGTTCAGTTTAAAATATAAAACCTAAAATATTAAAACAGCTCTTCAGAAATACAGAAGAAACCCTGACAAACTAAAATGAGTTGTGTTGAAAGCTATGGGAAGTTATGAGCTTTAAGTGTTACACAGATAAAGATATTTCTTCTTCTTTACCATTACTTGCATTTCTGTTTGCCATGTGTATAAATGTTATGTTTATAAATGTTCTATGTGACGGGAGTAAGGATGGAAATGAGCTCAAAGCTAAAATCCGGCTCATTTACATTTCAAAGCATTATTTTGTTTAAAATGGTCATTAATATGTATTGTCCCGGTTCAAATAAACGATTAAATGACATGAAAATACTTCTCAGAAAAGAGGACCTGTTCAGTTGAAAATACAAAATGTAATATTTTGTTTGTAAAGCTAAAGGAAGTTGTGACCTGTAGGTGGAATAAAGTTGTTTCTTATTGTTCTACCTTAACTTTTCAAAGAAGGGGACCTAAATAGAAAACCTAAAATATTAAAGCAACTTTTCATAACATTTGAAGAAACACTGAAACCCTAAAGTGAGAAATCTATAGAACCAATGATCTTTAGTTTACATGTTGAATAAAGATTTCTGTATTTAACATTTAAACTAAAGATCATTAGTAAATAAATAAAGATTCCTTTATTTAACATTTACCACTGCAGGCAAATATTTCTGCTTTCTTTTTTACTTTTTGGAGAAGAGGTACCTGTCCAGCTTGAAATATAAAACCTAAAATTATAGTCGGATTAAACAATGAAAATGAAAATGTATATTTTTCTACAGGAAGTAGTGACCTGACAATGGGCGGGACTTCTGCTGTCATTGAAGTCTCACTGAACCCGCTCTCCCCTAATTCACAAACTGGGGTCAGGGGCCCCCTTCAGGTCTTTTATAAGGATTCTTGGGATGAACTCATTGCCACGGTATTATCTTCCTCTAAAAACATAAATAACCAGTTTTAGAGTGCAGATATTTCTGTGTCTTTGCAACAGAGCGTGGGGGTTACACTTGTCTTTTAATTGGTTTCTCAGGGTGCTGCTGGTGTTTTATCTTCAGCTGTGGATGGCTGAATGGTGAGCCGTAAAAAAAGAAAAAGAAAGGAAGCTTCCCCTGGCAGGCATCTTCCCCCTCAGTCAGTCTGACCGCCCACAGTCCGGGGGGAGAAAGTGCTGCTTTGTGAATGAAGGGAGCGGCGGAGGGCAGAAAACAAACTTTACCAAAACCATTTCCGACGTTTTCACTTCCAACCGGACACGTTTCGACGGTGCAACAGGCGACACCTGGCCGACGAGCAGCGAAGAAAAGACGGTAAGTCACGACGTGTTTTTAGGATCTTGTGTGGCAGTGATAGAAAGCAGATTGACAGGGGGTTTTTTTCGACGGAAAGATGCATGCATTGCAGGCTGACCGTGACTGGAATAACTGCCATGAGATGGGAGATAATTCCAGGGCAGAATTTTAACTCCATAGTCTCTTTTTACATCCTAAAACCTCTGTTTTTGTCCCAACGTGGTATGCTTACAGAGTGCATGTCGTGCAAACTAATGGAGCTTCTTTAAGGACTAATTTGTGTCGCTATCCTTAAATCTGTGACGATTTTAAGATCTTCAGGGATGAAAGTGGGTTGCTAAACTGCATGTAGTGCTCAGCTTGTTGCTAAAAAATGGCACATTTGTATTGTATTTTACATTATGTGCACATGTATCCCGTTTATTTACAGCTAAAAGCATTTTGGTCGTTTCATACAAAACTTCCATCTGCTTTGCCAGTGTGAGTTTCGCAACATTTCATGACTCATGCATAAGACGTGCATTCCCAATGTCACCACAATAGACTCATAGAAGACTCATTCATGATATTATGAGGTTTCTCTTCCAGGGAGTCTGGTCTGCAAGTGGTAAACATAAGATTTGATTACAGTACTGTGAACACGCTTTGGAAACAGTAGCCAGTCCTTTTCTGTGGCTCAGATTGTGTGTCCCTTCAAATGAAATCCCAGTGCTGCTTCAGTTTAATAAACCACAGTGTTGACACTTTTATATGACTGAGCTTTATTAGCTTTTAAGATGACCAGGTTTCACAGGTTTTAAGAATATTTCTATATTTCCTTGAATGTTTAAACCTACTTGCAGATAAACCTGATTCTGATGTGGAAGAAGGCTGGGTGACAATATCATGATATTTCTGATGTAATACCCCACTTAGTCTGAATCAACACTTTTATATTACTGAGGTTTTACTTTATTAGCCATAAGATTACCAGGTTTCACACGTTTTAAGAACATTTCTATATGTCCTTGTTAGTGTAAACCTTATTGGCAATGATTGTGACATGGAAGAATGCTAGGCTATAGCAAATATCATGATATTGCTGTTCCCCACTATTGACATTATAACAATAATAATAATACACTTTATTTAAATAGCACATTTTAAAACATAGTTACAAAGTGCTTTCACATAAAACGGAAAAAATACACAGAAAGTGAACTAAACATCAACATGTAAAAGCAGTTTAAAAATAAATGAAATGTAACAAAAAATAAAAAGCAATTATAAGAAAAGGGAGTTTTTAAATGTGACTTAAAAGAGGTTTTAGGTTTCGCAGGCCTGATCTCCTCACGCAGATCTTTCCGTCGCTAAGAGCAGGAACATTGAACCTACAATATCTAGGGTTCACTATTTGTGCATTGAGACAATATTTACACAATGAGATTTCATCAGTAATGTTTTCTGAGGAATGCAACTTTTTTTTGTAGAAGCTCCCCTGCTGAGGTTATTTCGGAGAAGCTGTAAATCATGGTGGTCAGTCTGGCCTGTGTGGCCTGTCTCTGCCTGGTGGTGGTAGTCCGAGGCGACCCCTGCCTCATCATCAGCGAGATCAACGCCGACAACCCCCGACTGGACACCACTGAGTTCGTGGAGTTGTATCACACGAGTGGACAACGCTCCTCCCTGGACGGCTACACCCTGGTGTTCTTTAACGGAAACGGAAACATAGCCTACAAGGTGCTGGACCTCAAAGGCCACAGCACAGACGACAGGGGGTTCTTCCTGGTGGGCTCGGTGGACATGTTGCCCAAACCCGCCATCCTCCTGCCTCCCAACACCGTCCAGAACGGGCCCGACGCCATCGTCCTCTACCACACGTCTGCATCTCGCTACAACGAGAAGATGAACGTCACCGCCTTCGGAATGGTGGACGCCGTGGTGTACATGACCCGGCGCACTGGAGGGGCGGAGTTCCTCGCTGAGACTCTGACGCCAGGTGAGCCGGCGTTTGTGGAGGATGAATCGACCCTGGAGGGGGACGAGTCCATCGAGAGGTGCCTGCTGTCTGAAGATCGCTGGGGCTTCCAGGTGTCCTCCCCCTCCCCGGGTCAGAGGAATAACTGCACCCCTCCTGCCGCTCCAGCCACCATCCCTGTGATCACCGAGCTGAAGCTGGGAGGAGGGCAGGTGGACGGCTTCGTGGAGCTGACGGAGGCTCCGGCTGCGGGTCCTCTGGCGCTGGTTGTGTTGGACGGGAGAACGGACAGGGTCAGCGTGAGCGTGGACGTGAACTTGGAAACATCCAGGAACGGGTTGATCTCTGTGAACATAGAGAAGAGCTTCATGAAAGGTCAGTGTGCTGTGGGTTTGTTGGGATCTTATGCTGGAAAATGTTATTTTGTTTATGATTGCTTTTGGGTTGAGCTTTCTAGTTCATCAGGGAATTTTGGTACCTTTTCATTTGAGTTTATTTAAAGAATAAGCACCTTGAGATGAACCATATTGTTTTGAAAGGAGTCCTTAACAAAAAAAGACACACACATAGACAAAAGCTCTCCCATGCCTACTAATATACATATCCTGAATTACATGTAATACTACAGCGCTATACACGGCATACAGTATATATGAGCATGCATCAACACATTTAGAAAGAGGTGAGAGAAAGAGAAAGGAACAAAAATCATCATTCTTTAAATGAAATTAGAAGCAAGAGCAGGTCGTTTGAAAGTGAAAAGAGATTTTAGTGAGCTGGGAGTTTGTTTTAATCAGACGGAGCTTTAAAATTGCAAGTCCTTATGGACTCTTAGGAAGGAAAAAAAGGGGTCTCGGTGAGCCTCAGGCTATACGATGACCTATATGGAATAAATTACTCTTTTAATTATTCACTCACTTTCGTTTTATTGTAAATTATTTGTTCCTGTTTTGATTTCTTCTCAGGAGATGATTCTGGGGCAGTGGCTATTTACAGTGGCAGAGCCGTGGACTTCCCCCTGGGCAGTCCACTGAGCCAGATTCAGCCTCTAGATGCGTTTGTGTTTGCTGGACCTGGAAACAAGCCAAGCGCCAACCTCACTGAGACTCTCATCCCCGGCAGAGAGCCCTACCAACTCAGCAACAGGCAAGACACTATGAGGGTCTCCTCCATCAAGTAAAACCAAACCAATGTGACTGCAGTACAGAACAGGAGTTGAGGCGAAAGTGTTGCGAAACACATTGAAGCATTTCTCTCTAAGGGTCAGCTTGTGACCATTGTTCCTCTTTGCTGATACATTTTTAACCGTTTGGTGCGTCATCCCTGTGGAGCAATCGTCACAAGTAGACTTTCTTTCACACTGAGTCGAAGACATAGAAATTGATTTTGAAATTGCAAGTTTACAGTAATTTGCACGTCACTGATGAGAACTGAAGGTTACAAAACAATACTGAAAGGTTTTCAGTTACGCTAGCGTCGCCGTGAGGCTTTACTGAAGTGCAACTGCTTGGAGCAAAATGCTGAGGACAAACATGACAAAAAGAATGTTTAATGTTTAACATTGTTGGCAACAGCTGATGTGGGTTTTATTAGTGTTGCAGTCATTTAGTCACAAACAAAAACGTATGGACCTTTATTAGAAGCCATAAAGCCAACCAGCTGGTTGCACTCGGATAAAATAAGGGTTGATTCATTTGATTTGTTTTTTAATTATTTCATTTTTGTTTCAGTTTAAGAGAGGGGGGCTACTATCTGAGTCGCTGTGGTGTGGCCACCTGGGCCAGAGACCCTGGTGTCTTCTGGGAGGCCCCGCAGACCCCAGCTCAGCCAAACCAGTGCCCCTGGCCAAAGATCTGCCCGCACAGCATGGGTGAGTGCTGCATGACTGTTATTTATATTATATACCGAACATTATTAAGATCTGTATTTGGTTTGATTCAAAAGAAGATTCTTCCTGCAGTTTGCATGCAGTAAGAAAGGGAATAGGTCATGATTGACAGGCAGTATGAACGCCCATCTGATTCAGACATTGTGCAAATTACATAACGTTTGGCCATGATAAGTAGGCATGAGAACAAGATCATGAAGTAGTGACAATGACTCAACAGTGAAGAGAAATAACGTGCGGCTTTGAGGAAAAACAGGATGAGTAATCTGCAAGGAGAGACTGTTAATGTTGAATACTTGGCACATTAGGAGCTACATGTGTAGGCATGCAATCATGGATCATTTCTACTAAATGTCTTATTAATCTTGAGGAACAATGGAATAATTCTCAGACAGACATTCGTCATCATGCCCATCCTGCAGTCTGCTGACCGCGGGGAAATTGTTTATTTTATCATTGGTCAGCTGAGGAACTAGGGAACAAAGCTACATCACTGACAAAGGTATTACAAATTAAAGAACTGAGATCTGGTGATGGATGTTGCTTCAAGAATCAACCAACATTAAGAGAAATGAAAGATAATAATGAACTCAGAGAATCAGTTTCCTTGTGGACTTCTTCCTCTTTTCCCTTGAAAAGATGTATATGTAAATGGTTTGGAAACATATTGTAGAATGCAGCTAGATTTGTCAAAATATGAAAGACAAAAATATGCAGCAAGCAGCCAGATATGGTTTAAGATAGGAACTCTTGAATACATTGACTTTTAAAGATTAAACACCTTATTTGTATTCTTATTATTCTTATTATAATGTATTCTTATTATTAAAGCTCCAGAACAGCTACTGAATGGACCTGGTGGTGAGATTTCTTTCTCCACTTCTTTTCCCAAGATCAGGAAAATATTTTAAACCTTAAGATCCTCAAAATCCTGACAGATTCTGATTTTTATTTATTACAATATTAAGCATTGGCTAGTGTCCACCCTGCCTTAGGTTACACCTGGAAAAGACTTCAAGGTTAGCCAAACTTTAATGGAAGAGAAAAAAAACGATTATGTGGGAAATACTTCTTCTAAATTCTCATTGAATTGATTCCTGAAAGATGATACTGCCATCTGTTGCACTTTATAGGTATTGTGTTACTGTCCCAAACATAAAATGAGAGCATTAATATAATTAACGTTCTTAATGTCCCTTTTATATTCATTCAAATGCATTCAAAAAAATTGCTTAATAAGCTCAATCCCGTTTCTGCCAATAACAAAATAGACACCACTCTCAAATATGCCTAAACAAATATAAAGTTATGGCCAGCAGAAACTTAGCTTAGCATAAATTATTTGAAGCAGCTAGCCTGATCATGTCCAAAAGAAACAAATTCTGCCTAAAATAATCTGTAAAGTTATTTTATTAGCATGTTATGTGTCTGTTAAGTCAACCCAAATACCACAGTGAAACTATTCCTTTAACAGCAGCAAATTCAAACCTTTCCTTATGCGTTAGTGACTCCAGGAGGCACCGATTCCCCTCCCCACCTCCCACCCTGGGGGAACAGTGACTTCCTGATCAACGAGCTGAACACGGACACCCCCGGCGCCGCTGAGGACGGCGAGTACATCGAGCTGTGGCACCCGTCGGGGCGCCGGGTGTCCCTGCAGGGCATCTGGATCCTGCTGTTCAGCGCGCACAACAACAAACCCTACAGGGAGATCAGCCTGAGTGGACACTACACCACCTCTAAGGGCTACTTCCTGCTGGGCAGTGACAGGCTGGTGCCGGCCCCGTCGCTCCGCCTGCCCCCCAACACCATCCAGAACGGGCCTGACGCTGTGGCGCTGTATCGAAGCCCCTACGGCCCGCCGTCCGCCTCACAGAGGGGCATCCCCACCAAAGGGCTCATGGATGCGGTGGTGTACCGGCAGAGGGGGTCGGATAAGGAGGCGCAGGATCTGAGTAAAGCTCTGACCCCGGGACAGCTCCCTCTGCTGGAGGACCCCGAGGTTCTGCCCGGAGACGAGGCCCTCAGTCGCTGCAGGGGCCTCTACCCGTACGACCTGTCCGCTTTCTCAGTGAGTGCAGAGGTTTCTCACAGCATGTTGAATTCAAACACTTTGTTAGTACCGTAATTTTCGGACTATAAGCCGCGCCTTTTTCCCTATTTTTCGACGCTGCGGTTTATATAACGGTGCGGCTAATCTATGGATTTTTACAGCTAACGGCCAACACCTTTAACTCTATGGGCTCTATGGCCGGTCCGCGGACCCCCACCTTTAAGCGGCGGGTTCCAGCAGGAAAAACTGGAGGCCGGAAAAGAGTGAGACAGGTAGCGCGCAAAAGTAAAAGTGGAACCGAGAGTGGTATGCCGCTGCTGCGGCTTATATTCAGGTGCGGCTTATAGTCCGAAAATTACGGTACTAACTCTGATGTGGCCAAGTGGCAGAAACACAAGATTGTGGAAAACATCTTTAATTAAATAATGTAGGGAAAGGGAAGTTTACTTATTCACCTTTTTGCTGGGAAATAGATGAGAATACAGCTACCGCTCATATTTATGAATATGATGCTAGGTCAGGTTAGCCTAAGTCAGCACAAAGACGCAGGCAAAGAAAATAATCATGATACGTGTAATTTTAGTATGTACAAATGTTTAAAATATAGAAACGTACAAATAAATAAACACAAATACAAATTTGACGAAAATAAATACAATCAAAAATAACTAAATGAATACACTAAGAAAAAACTAATCATACATACAAAGTGAAAATTGAATAAAGAAAAATGAAAATAAAAATGAATATCATCTTTAATAAAAGAAAGAAGTGAAAATTGAATAAAGAAAAATGAAAATAAAAATGAATATCATTTTTAATAAAAGAAAGAAGGGATAAGTCCGGTTTGCAACAGACTCAGTGTCAATAGCCGTAAATTGCTTCTATAACTTTCCGGAAATGTATTTTCACCAAAGGCGGTAGTTCAGGAAGTTTTTAAACAAAACCTTAACAAAGTGTTTTTGCTGTTATTGCACCCATATCCAAAGTGATGTAGCTTTTCCTTATGGGATTCTTTCAAGACATTTTTAAACCATAAATGTTTAAATTCATCAATCTCTGCAGGTGGCTCCGCCCACCCCTCTGAGGGAGAACATCTGCCCCCGCCCGCCTCCCGCCCCTGAGGGTGTGGTCATCAGCGAGGTGGCGAGCAGCCATTGGACCAATCACAACCAGCAGAGGAGCTTTGTGGAGCTGCACGGCCCCCCCAGGACGGACCTGCGGGGCCTGGTGCTCTCCGTGTTCGATCAGGAGCACAGCGGCACCGTCATCGCGATGCCTCTCACCGGCTCTGTGGACGACGATGGACTCTACGTGGTGGGAAATGTCACCGGAGCAGGTGAGGGCAGGAGGAGGTCGTGTTGGCTTTCCTCTCACTTTATTAATAATAGTGCACTCTGAATAGTCTCTCCCACACACTCTCTCTGTGTCTTTGTTTTCTCATTTTACTTGTTTTGAAACTATACCACTGTTGTGCAACGACACTATTCATGTGTAATAAACTAGTGCTGAAGATGAATTTGAATATTTTCAGAAATTGCAAAATGGACTTAATATTTAAATGTATTAAAAGTTTTAAAACACCATTTTTTCTAAAGTTTTGAAGCTGGGGAATTATCCCGGCCTGCAAATCATATTCTACAGACTCAACAAAACCGAATTGTTTGCAAAAAATCCTTTAAACAAACACACCGTAATCATTTAATGTATTTTGGAATCATGATAAGAGTTAGGATTCAAAAACTACCAATGTCGTGAATCATACCGCAATTGCAATATCAGTAATCAGTTTTTCTTTAAACACGTTATTATTGTAAAAAATATATTATAAAAAAAAAAAAAAATAATTTCTGATTCTGATGTAAATTAAAGTGGACCTATTATGCTATATTGGAAACATATATTGTAGGGCCATACCTATACAAAATATGTCTGTGAAGTTTTTTGCTTAAAATACCAAACAGATCACCCATTGTAGCCATGCCTCATACTGCTCAAACACCTCTTTTGCAGCCCTGTTAGAGAAACGCGGATTTTGGGTCCTTAGCTTTAAAAAAATAAAAAGAGGTGGTGGAGCTAATGCCTGATCAGAATTCTACCGGAGATAAAGTTAAATTATGCTGTGATAAAACGCCATCCTGTTCTAAACCACATCAAAGATTACATTTTCTGAAACAGTATGGAGCTCAAATGCTTTTTCTCTTGCGGGTTTATCACAAGGTGAGTTCTTTTTTTTATTTCCTGCTTTTTAAACACAAGTGCTCTCCAGTACAGGTTAGCTCTGAGTGTTAGCGACGCTTGCTAATGTAAACAAAGACGAGATTACGTCCAAAACATGTCAGGCATTGTTTCTGATAGCAACTTTGTGTGGGTCCGCCGCCGATTTGACGTCAGATCGGCAGCAAATCTGTATCCGCTCATTGTACCCCTGTTTTCGAAAGATTTGGGTACGGAGGAAAAGAGATAGGGTTTTATTTTCTGACGCTGCGTGAGTTCCCCATGTACCTGGGACACCTATTTATGTATAAAAGACATCACAAAGTGCATTTTGCATGATANACGGGACCGCGCCGCCCGGCACGTTCATGTGACGTGTTCAGTACTACATGAGTTTTACCTTTACCCATGGATGCACAATAAGAACAGATTATATGATTATATGAATACTTTCGTGACGTTTCGCTCTCTCAAAAGTTGAGCCATTTTGTCTTCATGCGCCAATGAGCAACTCTCATAGGAATGAACGAGGCCCCGCCTCCCACGCTGTATCCAGTTCTTATGATACATCCATGGGTGTATCATGCAGTCTGTCTTCCAGTTGTTGCCTCTTTTGATTGACTAATACACACTACCGCCGCCTGTTAGTAAGGAGAGTTATTGCCACTCACGCATGCGCAGCTCGTACGTGCTACTTGGCCGTCGGCAGAAGTCTTTGCAGTGTGCTCCATTGCAACTGTTTGCCAAGACGCAGGAGACGTGAGGCGACACAACAGTCGGGTCCGTCGGGACGTGTTCTTTTGTGTCAGATTGGTGTGTTGGGGCCTTTACTCCTAAGGAATACCATCTGCTCATTCATGTCCACAATAAAAGTATGCAGTTTTTTTGTTGCGTTGTCCAATGTGAGGGTCCAAGGACAGAGGGTGTCTTATTCATATTCTGTACAAACTGTAAAGTCCACTGAGACAAATGTAAAATGTGTGATATTGGGCTATATAAAAACACTTTGATTGATTGCCTACATTATTTGCTATTAACTTTTCTGTGTCTCTTTGTGAGGCTACATCACTGAGCACGATCAGTGTTTTTAATAACCTCTTAAGCCCCAAGCCTGTTTTTCAGGTTTCAGGCTCGAAAATGATATTCCCAGAACAAATGACCATATCTTCCCTTCTAAAAGGGTTAAATTAATAATCGTAATTATAAACTTGTGAGTTGGATGTAGAAAAGTCAGAATCAATATAGATGTTTTTTATTTTAAAGAAAATTCAGATTGAACATGGTAAAAAACTGTAAATTATAGTGTCCGTCCAAAAAATATTTTGTACTTATAGTGAAAACTAACCATGGATGATGGGTTAGTAGACTAAAAGCTTTAGCAATCGAAAGTACAACATATAATAAGTACCCTGTATCAAGATTGATGCAAAACAAGTGATATTTGACCTTTTTTAGACTAGATTTTAGCAAAAAAAACCTCTTCTGGGGCCATTTGGGTGGATTTTCCTTATCTCTGGCCCCCCTTGCTCGATTTTGACATGTGACATCTCTTCCTGACCGTTAGAGCCAATAGAATCGAAGGGAAATCGTCCCGCACACTCTCATGTTAAAAGAAAAAGGTTTCGTCTTTGCGCATGCAAGCTGGCAAAAGATGGTAGAAATATCCCTGCTCTGATATCTTGAAACGGAAATGCAGTTTTATTGCTTATGGATTATCAGAACATTTCAAAGGGGACACAGTCACATTGGATATTAACCTATGGATTAACTACAGCATCGTCTTTATCGTTTTAATGCCATTGAAGACCAGTTTTGACCAGTCAAAA